GGGAGTCTGCCCCACAAGGCCATTCAAGGCATGACTTACGCCTGTGCCATCCAGGGGCACTGCCTGGCATGATAGCCACAAGGCACATGTGGCTATTTAACCGGACTATGTGAAATTGTAAATTTTAAATTTCAGATCCTCAGTTGCACGAGCTACATTTTAAGGGCTAGATAGCCGCATGTAGCTAGTGGACAGTAGAGATCGACAGCCTAGCTGGTACCCCATCCAGTTCTGTTGGACAGCACTGCCCTAAGGCCTCTGAGCCTTCTCTCCACTGGGTCATCTGCAGAGGGCAGCAGGCCGGGGCAGGGAGGAAGCTTGGCACATCAATCCTTGGGGAGATTGGTGTAAGCACCAGGCCTGGAAGTGTGACCTTACTTCTCTCCATAACTTCATTGGCCTGAACTGTGTCACTGAACTGCAAGGCAGGTCAGGAAATGTAGTCATCTTGCTGTGCGCTCACCAGGAGAAAACTGTGTTTTTTGAATGCATAGCACTGCCTCTGCCACAGGTGGATGCACCTACACAAAGTCTTTTAGAAGAGAAAGGGAGTATCTATTTCAACTCGCATTTACACTAAGCTATGCTTTGAATTTGGTTTGGTTCAACAACGATTCATTAAAGGGAACTTTGTCCAGAAGCAGATTTCTGTTTGACTAGGGAAAAGACACTTACATGTTGGAATTCATTAAGAAACCAATACGAACATCATGATGTCAGATTAAAAGGTGAGGGGCAGTTAGTGAAACACTATGCAGAGAGACGAGTACGAGTTGAACTCCCTGCCTTTGACCTCTGCTCTGGCTGCTGTGGGAGAGCTCCAGAAGCAGAGCGCAGCCCGAAAACAGGGTTATTGGACGCATCTTCCAAACAAAGAGTAGGTTCGATCTGAAGACCTCCAGCAGCATCAGAAATTGCTGGGAGTTTGGGCTGAATTGGATCCTTGGAAAGAAATGTGTGGAATGTATCATGAGAGGCCCAGGGCTACCAGGTATCAAGAGTAGGAAATGATTGGTAACCTTAAAGGAGAAGACGTCAGTAGGAATAGAAGGATGAGAGCCAGCATCCAAGGAGTCACAGAAGGAATGGAATTCTACATTTGATTTGCTTTAAGGGAAAAGAAAGGGTTGACTGAGCAGCAGCAACAGATTGAACAAGAGGATTGTTCGTTTGGCTTTCTTTCCTTTTTTAAAGAATCAGAGGACTCTCAGTGTTTGAAAGAAGACCTTCTTGCAGAGAGTGGATGTAGACTAAAAGAATGACTGACTGGTTTCGAAGCGAACATAGGCTCTTTCTGAATGGGACCAAAAGTGACTTGGGGAGGGCTCACTTGTGACAAGTAAACCTGAGAGACTTGACCCAGTGCCCTTATCACAGGCCAATTCCCTTCCCCCCAGGTTGGATTCATGACTGATGGCAGAATTGTGGCCCTGGACGTGGAGCATTATAGCAATGGAGGCGCCTCTCTGGATAAGTCAGTCTTTGTAAGTATTTTAAGGAACAAGTTCACATTCTGGAAGGAGTGCCATATGAAATTACTAACACCGAAAAAGATTCAAGTTAACTAATAGCTAATTATAAAAGCATCAAGACCATCACTGAAGAGATAGTCACAGGTTAATTATTGCTGCTTACCAAGTGAGCCCAGAAATCCTGGCCAAGACACTATCTGTGCGTCGTCTCCACACATCCCATACTAATAGTACCTGCTCTGGATGCAAGTGTTGGACCCGACTGCCCCCACCTCCACCTGGTTGACACTTAGATATTTAGCAGCATCCTTGGCTTTTGCCCAGTACATGGCAAGTCATATAGTCCCCTTGCCCTACACCAGTGTGAACAATCCCAAATGTCTGTAGACATTGCCGAAGGTCCCTCAAGAGGCAAAAATCATTTCTGGTTGAGAACCATTGCATTAGGCCCCAAACCAAAAGTTTGTTTTGGGGTTTTCCTCTTCTTCCCCTTTGCAGAATAACTTATCTTCTACAGAGCTCTGGTGGTGTAGTGGTTATGCATTAGTTTGCAATCCACAAGGTCAGCAGTTCAAAACTACCAGCTGCTCTGGGCTAGAAAGACAGAGCTTTCTCCTCCTGTACAAAGTTAGGGTCTCAGAAACTCACAAGGCCAGTTCTAGCCTGTTCTATATGGTCTCTATGAGTCAGCATTGACTCAATGGCAGTGCAAAGGAGAAGGAGGGATGATGGATCCTAGTGCTTAGATCTATGAATGTTTCAAAGACCTTTGGAAATGTTTGAAACCTCAATAAGAAAGTATTGGCTGTAAAATATGAGAAGAAAAAAATAATACTTCCAAAAGAAAAATTACTCGATTCTTTAAAATTATTTAAAACTAAAATATATTTAACTTGGGGCCTGGATATATTTTAGCCATTTTGGTCTGAGGTCTCAGGGTGGTCCAACAAGAATGAGAAGGTGAGGGTCTCATCACACCCGTTCTGGATCTCTCTAGGTGATAGAAGCAGGAATTCTGAAACTGGACAATGCTTACAAGTTTCCCAACTTGAGATGCCGGGGTCGGGTGTGCAAAACCAACCTTCCATCTAACACGGCTTTGCGTGGGTTTGGCTTTCCTCAGACAGGATTCATCACTGAAGCCTGCATTACAGAAGTGGCAGCCAAATGTGGCTTGTCCCCCGAGAAGGTACTATTACTCAATAACACCCAAAGACATCAAACTTCAGGGCCGGGGAGCACTTTGGAGGGTCATTCAAGTTGAGGAATTTACTCTTCCGAGAGGTTAATGATTTTCCCAAGGTAACAAGCTAACTGCTTAATACAGAGCCAGGTTTCCAATGTTCAGTGATCTTTGTCTTCCTTAAAAATATCTCGAGTTGGCTATTAATTATAAACTGTTTGTCTGTTCAGTTAATGGTCTTTTTCCAGTTCTTGGAAACTCAAATTCTCTCTTTTCCTCCTCCTGTACTCCTTCCATCCCAGGATCCTGGAGAAGAGCTGGGGTGGTGAGGCCTGGGGTGGCCTTTCACACACACTTCTCCCCTGGGAATTCCCTGGTGGTGGGGGGGCTGGGAGGAAGAGAAGGGGGGCCAGGAGACATTTTAAAGTGTCCGAACCAGCATTCATGCTCAACCTGTTGGACGCCCTATAGTTAGATGTAACCACTCTTAGAGCACATTGTCTGTGGGCCCCATTTCTGGCAACTCTTCCTGACATTGATAGTCTGCTATGAAGGTCACTTCCATCTCCAGCTGAACCTCAGCTGACATCGTGTGCAACATCCCTCTGATGACCACTTAGCTCTGTGTTAGCTCTGCGCCACAGCCGTCCTTCCCAACCCCTTGGCCCCAGCCCATCAACATCTCCCCCACGCCCAACTGTAGATTCCATGGTCATCTTTTTTAATGTCTCTTGAACTTGAGAAGCCCTTACCTGACCAGCCCATCACAGCCCATCTTCCAGTAGCATATTTTATAACGTTACGGAGAAGTGGTTGGAAACCAGCCTTCATCCCTAGGAAGGCTAGGGAGAGAAAAAAACGACCCACCTTCATTGCCATAGAACCCATGCCAACTCATAGCAGCCCTATAGAATAGAGTAGACTGTCCCATAAAGTTTCCAAGATGACAATCTATATGCAACCAGAATGCCACACTCCCCCCTCCCGCCCCCATGAAGGAGCTGGTGGGTTCAAACCGCTGACCTTTCAGTTCGCAGCAGAGCACTTAACCACTGTGCCACCAGGCCTCTTAGGGAGAGAACAGCCACCTTGAAACACTGCTGTCCCAAGTGACTACAGAGCACTAGTTCTCAGCCTTCCTCTGAGATTGACCTAACATCTCTTAGGTGGTGAGAGAGGGGAGGGGGGCGGGGTATCTGTAATGACCTTATCAGCAAGCCTGGGGAGGTAACTAACTCAAAATGCAGCATTTTCTCATCTGACCATGTGAAGTACTTGGCACCTTTGGCTCTCAGCTGGGACCCTGGGTCATCAGTTCTAGGAATAAGAGGGGACACGCCCATTTACGCAGAAACATTCCATTCTGTGCTTCAGCCTTCCCGGAGTGGGATCTTTTCATTTGTTCTTTATCCTTGATATTGATTATAATTAAACAAACTATCATACGTTCTTGCTTTGAAGTGAGTGGCATTATTTTATTACAGCATTGGAATACACCAAGTCCTGTAATCTGTACGTTAGACCAGGATTAGTGTTTTACAGATATTTATAGTAGTAACGAATTAAGAGTCCATATGTATTTGCCGTGGGTTGAGTTACATAAGAAATGCGAGGAAAGGGCCCCTCCCTTTGCATTTGTACAGCACACAGAACATATAAGTATGTGATCACATAGTCAATAGGTGCACTGGATTTCCTGGCTTGGGTCTTCTGGCGTATAGAAGGAAAATATAAGAATATGATGTAGTGAACACTGACAAAGCCTTCAACAAGGAGTAGGGAGAATAAATTTTGTGTCTTATAGGATGGGTAGAATTTGAATCAATACGGGAGGACAATGGGTGGAAGAGTCTATGCTGATCACACACCCCTGCACCCCCACCTGTAATTTTGCTTTTTCCTTTTCAAGGTCCGAATGATAAATATGTACAAGGGACTTGATCAAACACCCTACAATCAACAGATTGATGCCAGGAACCTGAGCCAGTGTTGGAGAGAATGTATGGCCCTGTCTTCTTACTCGGCGAGGAAAGCAGCTGTGGAAAAATTCAATGCCAAGAATTCCTGGAAGAAGAGAGGACTGGCCGTGGTCCCTTTAAAGTATCCCGTGGGCGTGGGCCCCGTTGCTGCTTGTCAGGTCTGTTCTCCATACCCGTGGAGGGATGCCCTTAGGAAAAGGCCCAGACAAAACCAGTGGTGCTGAGGAAAGCTCCTCTTAAATGGGGTTAGCCACATAGTCGCACAGCCAAGTTGTTAAAAGTCACCAACGTTGTGCTGCATCAAGCCGTCTTTATACTCCAGACCAGACAAGAACCCCTTTCAACACATGCTCGGGGTTGGTAAAAGGTTCTTTCTGAACATCAGGAGACCTGGAGTCTACTTCTGGTCCTGGCACTTGTCAGCTGAATAAACTTACTCTGGACCTCTGGGACCCCAAATACTCATTTGCAAGGAGGATGGGACTGGATGACCTCCTGGGCTCCTATCCCCGTTATCCTCTGATTCTGTACCTCTGGACCATGAAACAGAAATGAGACGCTGCCGGGCATTTGAGCGCCCCTCCCTTTTTTGATAGGCTGGGATACAATAAATTCAGAAGAGCAAAAGTTTAAGATAATTTTAGGGAAAATTATCTTAGGAATGTGTTTATCACATTGCTCTTCAAGGTATGACAGAGAGGATGATTTTGATTTCCTTAATTGATGAAATGAATCTGTTTGCTTGGTTGCTGACCTCTGCTTGTTCCACTCGCTATTTCAGCCTCTTCATTTCCAAATGAAATGTCCCAATAGCAACAGGTGCAGAACCTCTAGAGTCTTATTGCAGTGATGGGGACCCTGGTGTCTAGGTTCTTATTTAGGTAAGCTGTCATCACATCCTGTGACTGCGCCCCAGGAAGAAGCAGAGCGAGTGTGTTGAGTGGTGTCAGAATAGAAAAAAGTGCAGGGTAGAGTGTGGATGTGCACATTGTGGAGGAAGCACAGGTGCCAAGAAAAGGAGGAAGGGTGGTCTTTATCCCCATCCGGTGGTCTAAGAAGCCAGGTCAGCTTTGGCATAAGGGCACTTTGTTAGAACATTTGCATGCAGCGGTGCTTGCAGGCAGGTCCTAGCTCAGAGGATTATAACCACACAGGTGTCAGTTTCCTCGCTCTGTGCCTGCTTGTGATGGCTGAAAGAAACAGCCAGTTAGACACCTGCTCATGTGCGCAGGAGAGGCGGTCAGGAGCCTGTGGTGGAGGAACAAAGGCAAGTGCAGGAAGGGAGATACAAACACTACTGCTCGAATTTGGGTTTTCAATTTTGGGGTACACGGATTAGCTGGAAGCTAGCCAAGAGTCAGTCTGGTCCATTGATCCTTGAGTAGACTGGGCAGGACAACAGGAAAATGGCCTAGATGACTCATGCACCCTTGGGAAGTCCTTGACCCCCAACAGCAGTAACTTAATATCTGGCCTCCATCTCAGGGCAGGTCGGCCTCCGGTAGGTGCCTCTTCAGACTTTCTCAGTAAGTATGATGATGGTTGTTGAGCACCTGCTAGGTTATAAACCCCTCTACAGTTTATTCAATCTTAAGTTCATTCAACCCTCAGGGCAACTTAAATAGGATTCGCATGCTCATCCCAGCCTTGAGAAAACGGAGGCTCACAGACCTTAGAGTGCCTAAGACTCCCCTCTGGTGAGGGCCTGGACCACTGGGAGGACTCTGGTCTGACCGGCCCCAGAACCGTGCTCTCTCAGTGGCATCAAGCCGCCTCCCCAGAGCACCTGAGTCAGGAACAGAGGTGGCACTCAGCTCTGCAGGGAAAATGCCAGGCATGGAGTTTAACTCAGCCAAATTGCTTCCTGGTAGACATGTGTTGAACACTTCCCATCCTGCAGGAAATCAAATAGGGAAGGGAGGTGTTATAATCTCTGTTCTATAGCTGGAAAAGTGAAAGCATTGGTGGTTCGGTGATAGATTGATTGCTTTCCATACACGAGAGTTGGGCTCAGCTCCTTGTTAAAGCCCGTCATGCACAGCAACCAGCAAGCTCTCCGCGGAGCCCTTTGGTTGCTATACTGCTGAACAGGTTTCAACAGAGGGGATAGACGAGGATAGACGCATGAAAAAGTCCTGGCAATCGCTTCTTCCTAAATTCAGCCAGAGAAAACAGTGGTCCAGTCTACATCAAGTCCTGGGGAAGGCACAGGCAGGCCTGCACAGTGCTTTATCCTGTTGCCCGTGGGTCACCATGGCTTGCATGTTGACTCAGCAGCAGCTAACAGCAACGGAACCGGTGATTGCCAGAGGGAGGGTTTGCCCTCAGGACTGTGGAGCCACAGGTGCCACGTGTCTGCATCACTGCTCGCTGCTTCCGGAAGCAGAAGCAGCCAGGTGCATCCCACAGCTCGGGGCACCAACTGGACCTTCCCGACTCATCCTGCAGTCTTGGACTACGAACAATCAAGAGCCAGGAGCATATATTTAATTCACCTCTTGGTTCCCGGTGCCTGACACAGAACGGACACTCGACTGTTTGAATGAGTGGGACTTTCGGAGACGACATGGGAGTACAGCAGACTTGTCAGAAACACCAGCAGGCACAACTTGGAGACCTGAATGTCTCAGACTCAGACCACGATTGATACTGGAGAACCATCGTCCCAACACAGCAAAGTGATACCAGTTTTGTAGATGAAGTTTTGTGGAATTGTCTTTTGTGGTGCTCACAACGAACCATCCGGTGGTGCCACACAATTGAACAAAATTGGACATTTTAAATGGCCCGAAGAGAGTGTGGCACTACATGGAACACATTATGCCCGGCAGTCTTTCACAGAAATGCTGCTCTGGACATGCAGAGTACTGTGAGTAGGGTGGGGTGGGGGGTCATGCACTGTAGGCCGCAGTAACCATATCCCTATCACTTCATGTGCCAAGTCCAACCACAAATCACACCTACCCTCTGCTTGCAGAGCCGAGGAGGTCAAGTACGGAGTCTAAAAGCTTAAGAAAAGGAGCAGATGGCCAGGCTTGTGGAAACTTATTCGTCAAATGTTTATTGAACACCGGCTATCTGTCAGGATCCAGTCCTTCCCTACAGAGACTCACATCTAGAAGAATACAATGAAGTGCAATTGGATGGAGCCCAGGGGACTTCTGCTGCTGCCGCCATCACCTGGCATCTCATACAGTACAACTAGCTCTGGGCTCCCTGTGGCAGCTGCTGCTTCTTATCTTTATTATTTGGAAAATAAATTACCGGGAGCACAGGCTACTGTTTCCAGGGGTGATGAGTCAGGAGACAGTAAAACATCCTCCGCTGTATTCTCCCATGGCCCTGGGCACAATGATCATAGCAATCGTGACTGCTTCAGAATTCCAAGGCCCTTCCTTGCATGACGAAGATGCCTTTGTCCCCAGAGACAGGGTTCCCTACCATCCCAGTTGTGGCAGTGGTGGTAGGATTCTTGACTTCCACATGAGAGCTCTGGTTTCAATGACTGGTCTGTCAGTGGAGGGTCACATGTTGCAATGATGCTGAGCAGGTGACAACAGAGCTGCCCGATTAAGATGTCCTAGGAATCAAGGCCTGGCAATCGACTTCCGAAAACCAGCTAATGGAAAGCCAATGGCTCACAAAGGCGCAGCCAGTATCCAATCTGGGGGCGGGCCCAGGTCTGTGTAGCATTTTGTCCCATTGCGCCTGGGACTACCATGTGTCTAGGGCCTATTCAAGGACAGCGAATAACAAGAATGCCCTGTGCACCCACGACCATCCTAATGTATACCTGCTTGCTCCTGTTGGCAACTAGAGCCTGCTTTTATTCTTAAAAGGTTCCTTATTTGTAATGGTGAGAGCGTTCGCTTTTCATTCACTGGGGTTATGTGAACGTTGGATACCAATAAAGAGGCAGTTCTCCAACGGTGGTGCCCAGGCCACGGTGGCTGGGAAGATCCCGAGAGGCAGAGCCTTGACCTAGGAATACAGGCCTCTCCGTAGGTTATATGTTGACTTACACGCAATGCTATCAGCCTCTGCTTATGACCAGGCTTAGTGCTGGTCACTAAGCCAACTGAGCGTCACTTTAGGCTAGCCATCTGTTATCTTATTAATATCACATTCCTATTCAAAGTGGGATAATAATCTAGAACTGGTAACATCCCAGTGTGCTGAAGACTCTGGCCACAGCTCATCTCACTTGATCACAGGCATTTGTCCTTCCTGTCATGGAGTTGATGCCGACTTCCAGGGTTGCTATGAGTCAGCACCGACCTGATGGCAGTAAGTAATATTTATGTAACCCAGTGACATTAGCTGGTTACCAGAGTTTTCTGAGCATTGGGATGTTACGCATTCTAGTTTATGATACCACTTAGAATAGGAAGTTAGATATTAAGAAACCTAGCTGACAGATGGTTAGCTTAAAGTGACCTTCAGGTGGCCCCCAACCCTTGCAGCTGCACAACTGTAAACGCAGGACCTTCTGGGCCACCACGGAACCATTAGAAGCATGTTCTCTGGGACATGTGCTGGTGCTGTGCTCTGACCCTGGAGGCTCAAAGCAAAGACAGCATCCTTGCTTTCTGCACGGCTTCATACTGGTTCTTTCTGGGTCCATCGTGGCTGCAAAAATGGAACTGGAATGGACCCCAATGTGTAACACGTGTGTATACTGGAAAAACAACCAGAACTGGGAAAACGATAGGTTCATACTCTATGAAACGGTCACCTCCTCACGGGGTGAGGCTACATGCATGTTGCACAGTGACTGAATCTTTTTTTTTGGAACAGTTTTAGTGACACTTCACCCACACTTCAATAGCTCAACCATCTAAGAAGAGCTATACAGTCTCTACCACAATCAATTTTAGAACATATTCTTATCTCCATACTCATTGCTATCCGTGTAATGTTTTCTTTTCAATTTTGGCAAAATATACACAACCAGCCAGTCACCCGTCTAAGGACTTCTCCATGTGTAATTCACGGATTGCACTCTTCGTGTTGCACGACCATTATTGTTATGCGACGAAACCTTTTGATCAGCAGAGCCAGAAAGCAACAAGGAGCAAGGTGTCTGCTTTAAGATGGGCGCCAGCCTCTTGCTTTACATGTGTGTGGTTCACTAGTGTCCTGGCAATAACCCAGTCTCCCAAATCAGTCTCCTGAGAAGGCTCACAGCACCTCTTTTGACTCTCCTCTGCCAGGGCTTCAGCTCACAATTTCCCCAGCGCCCGTTATTGGTTCAGTACACCCACAACTTAGAGGTTTGGGTCCGTTTCGATTTTGCTACAGCAGCCTTGACTGAATTAGTTCAAACTAATTGAAAGCCATGTTTTTCTGCAGTCTTGGGATCTTTCCATACCCCATATTCGAACGGGCTGATTTCTGAGAAGACACATCTTTGTTAATTACAAGTCATGTTTAGCTCAGAGTCCAAGTGTTTCTGACCAAGTGAGTTTGAGTCTGTTAGCCCTTAGCTTCATCAGGATCACGGTGGGGCGCTACAATTAGATAAGATTGCTTCTGAGTCCCCTCTGATTTGAAATGCAGTACAGTGAACCCTTGCCACTTCGCGCTTCGACTTCCGCGGCTTCACTCTATCGCGGTTTTTGCGTAACAGCGCATGCTCTGTCATTACTGCCACTGATTGGCTCATACTGTACATGCTTGATGCCATAAATAATATAATAAATGATAATTGTAACGTCCAAAATGTTTTACTGTATTTCCCCTTTTTTGTTTAATAAATTGGGTAATACGAGTGTAATGGTGACTAAAGGGTGTTTTTTCATGTCCTCTATGCTCTAACTACGAAAATATTTGATTTACAAATAAGGAATCCTACTTCGCGGAATTTCATTTATCACGGTAGGGTCTAGAACCGATTAACCGCGATAAACGAGGGTTCACTGTAATGCTGTGCCAGGATGTTTCACTGTGGGCTTATCTCATTTTGCAGCAAAATAATAATAATAATAACTGTCTTATTGAAGGTCTATCATGCTTATTTGGACTTTTATTTGAACTTTCATACAACTCAACTCTGGGGATATGTGTACATACAGTTAACCTCCCTATTCCTCAACCTATTTTCCCTTCTCTCGGCATTTTAAAACTGACTACCTTCAAAGGAAAAGGAGCCCAGAATATGGCTGAGGCCCGGGGTGATGGGAGTCACTGGAGGCACCAGTGTCCTCAATGTTGTTCTTCAGGAATAGTCACACGGGCAACATCCCCAAAGCCACTCAGGGACAACTTGGCATTGGGGTGCCACCCCAAGGCAGCACTATCCTGGCCTTGCCCTGGCTCTGCCCAGCGCTCTCAGGACAGTGGGTAAAGAACCTCTGTATGTTTTTAGTAGGGTGGGGGAGGACAAGGAAAGAATCTTTTCCAAAGAAATGGTTGTCATGGATGTGATGTTTGATGGTGCCAGTTGGAAAGATCATGGAAATTGTTCTCCTTCCTTTTGGCTTAGGCTGCCGCTCTGGTCCACATTTACCAGGATGGATCTGTGCTTGTGACTCACGGTGGAGTTGAAATGGGCCAGGGGGTCCACACCAAAATGATTCAGGTAAGGCTGCAAATGATGAGATGAAGCTGGGTGTGTCTCTGTAGATGAGTCTGAGTGAGAGAAACTATGAATGTGTTTTTTTACGAAGCAGAAAGAGAGAAGACAGAAATTTGGACAGCTTACCTGCTACAATGTTAGCAGAAACTGGTAGAAAAGCCAGTTTTGTAACTGAATCTCCCAAAAGAAGATAGCCTTAGGTTTGTTTTGTTTTGGCTTGTTTTGCTGTTAAAGAAAATTGTGCTTTTATTAGCTCCTTTTCATTGGATCTATTAAGAAGGGAGGTTTTCTATTAATAAGGGGGCTCTTCTTTTTAACCTTTGCTGGGCAATAAAAAGATGATACATTTTGATGTATCGTGCTATTTCTTGCTTGTTAATGTTCAGGACATGGAACAATCAGTGATATAAATCACATTTGGTATTTTGAACCAAATGTTACCACTTTTCTCTTAGCTTACTTGCTGGAAGCGAAGTTTATGCTATAGTTTGTCATTTTTCTAATCATAACAGTAATGTCATGGGTTACAAAAACCTTTGAAGAGGCAGAAAAATGTAAAGGGAAAAAAAAAACATACCCAATTCTACATCTTAGCAATAATCACTCTTTTGGAGTAATAATCACTATCTTTTCATTATGTCTTCTTTCCTGTTTTAAAAAGTCACTAGCAGGATGTTTATATAATTTTTAAAAGATCATTTTATTGGGGGCTCTTACAGCTCTTATCACAATCCGTACATACGTCCATTGTGTCAAGCACATATTTACATATGTTGCCCTCATCATTTTCAAAACATTTTCTTTCTCCTTGAGCCCTGG